TTCTCTGGATCTTACTCTCCCTATCCATAAAAAATGAAGATATTGGACTGGATGATGCCAAGGGTCTCTTCTAATTGAAGCTTTTTTGACTCTTTAGCCACACCTCTAATGGTGGGGAGGCAGTGCTCACCCACCTCGCTTGTACTCTCAGGAAATGACCTGACAAACTTTGCAAATGTCACATCAGAAATGTTTGCAACCCCACTAAATGACATAAGTTATGGCCTTAAAGCCAAACAGCAGAGTTCAGAAGCTCCCTTAAGTAGAGTGAACCATCAATCAACCAACTACCTTTTACTGTTGCCTGCTAGGCATAAGTCCCCGCTCTTATAGAGGGCATAACCTAGCTGTGGTGACAAGACCTGAGCACGTGAGGAGGGTGCCATATTGATTCATTAATTCCATTCAACAAATATTTAGTAGCAACTGCTGTGTGAAGCACTCCATGGAGACCCTGGGGAATACACAAAGTTCCGATAAGGCACAGCCCTTGCCTTCATGGATCTTACAATCTAATGGAGAATTTGATACATCACAAATGCCTCAGATACACTTGAGGGATCTGTGATTTCACTGGTATGGGTACTCTTTGCACTATTACTTATTACAACCCCTCCAAACCTTGGTGGATAGGCCATGGCTGAAAAGACCTATTTCCTGGAGGCTAACCACATGGGGTTGAGCTGTTGTCACATTAAGCAAGCTGGTCCTCAGATAACCAAGCCACAGCCCATGATCGGCCCCTAATCAAAGCCTTGTTAGCTTTGAAGGTGGAGCCAGCCTGAGCTCGTGCTTTGGTTAGCACAGTCTGTGTTAATCCAGGCTCACCTCCATGCCTCACTGAACCCTCAGAGAACTTTAGTGGGAAACACACAAATTAAGGACCAACCCCTAAGAATAGTATGTATAAAGTATCATGTGAGGTCTGAGGAGGGGAAAGTTACTATTAATCAGCAGAGTTGGGGATGGAGGACATCCAAAAGGGCTCACTGAGGTGCAAGAATACTGAGCTGGGCTTTAAAAGACGGGTCAGATTTCAAAGAGTGAGGTGCAACAGGAGGACATCCTCAGCACAGGAAACCACATGAACAAAGGCACAGAGGCAGGAAAACACAGAGTGACAGACATGGAAAAGCAGTACAATTTGGCTGGGCTGTAACATATATAGAGGAAAATAATCTGAGATAAGGCTGGAGAAAGGATAGCACATAGTAGAGTGAAAAGAATACTAGCTTTCAAGTCAGAGGACATGAGTTCAAATCTTGCTTCTGTCACTTACTACATGCATGACCTTGAGCAAGTCACCTAACCACTTTGGGCCTCAGTTTCCTCATCTGTAAAATTAGAGGTTCAGGCCAGATGTCCTATCTAAGGTCTAATCTGACGTCCCTGCTAGCTCTAAATCTATAAGCCTATGAATGCTAAATTCAAACTAAGGAATCTGAACTTTACTCAAGAGGCAATAGAGAGCCACAACAGGGGTTTTTTTCCATTTTAGTTACTTTATTTGAATAATTCAAATTGCTTTCCAAAATGGTTGTACAATTTCACAGCTCCACCAACAATGTATTAGTGCATTTATCTTTCCACAACCACTCCAACATTGACTGTTGCCATTTATTGTCATTTTTGCCCATTTGTTAGGTGTGCAGTTAAACCTCAGGGTTGTTTTGATTTGCATTTCTTTTATTATTAGTGACTTGGAGAATTTTTTTCATATGGTTGTGAATTCTTTGAAGTTCTTCTTTTGAAAACTGTTCATATCCTTTGACCATTTATCTATTGGGGAATCACTATTAGTCATATATGTGTGTTTGTATAGTTATTCATTGTTTAGATATCTTAGATACCAAACCCTTATCTGAGGAAGATTTTTTTTCCATTTGACTACTTCCCTTCTTACCCTAAATGCATTAATCTTGTGTTTGCAGAAGCTTTTCAGTTTCAAATAATCAAAGTTATTTTATCTTTTGTAATTGTCTCTATCTCTTGTTTGGTTAAGAATATATCTCCTACCCACAGCAGTGAGAGGTAGATGATCTGTTTGTCTTTTAATTTTTTTATACTATGATCTTTAATATTAAGGTCACGTATCCATTTAGAATGTATTGTGCAATGTGGTATAAAATGTTGGTCTAAGCTCAATTTCTGTCAGACTGCTTTCCAGTTTTCTCAACAGTTTTTAACAAATAGGAAGTTTTTCCCTTGGTAATTTATGTTTTCTACCTCATCAAACACTAGGTTGTGACATGCAAATTTGTGAATTCCATATTTTTTGGATTTAACTACGATGTTTATACTGATGGTTCTCAAATCTACCTATCCTGCCCCTACCTATCCTGCCTTTCTGCTGACATCTAATCTTGCATCTCCAACTGCCTTTCACACACCTTGAAATGAATGTTCAGTGGACATCTTCAACTCAGTATGTAGAAAACAAAATTTATTATCGTTTCCCCAAGCCCCTTCCCCAACCTTCCTATTACTGTAGAAGGCAATATCAACCTCTCAGTCCCTCAGGCTCACAACCTAGAAGTCATCCTGGACTCTTCATTCTCTTAACCCACTCCCCCCATCCAAGCTATTGCCAAATCCTGTCAATTTCACCTCTGCAATATCTCTGAAATACTCCTTCTGTCCTCTGACATTGCCACCACTCTAGTGCAGGCCCTCATCACCACCTGCTGCTGGGTCTGCCTGCCTCTAACCTCTCTCCACTCCAATCCATCCTCCTCCATTCAGTCACTAAAGTGATTTTCCTAAAGTGCAGGTGCAATCATCTCTCTCTCATACACACACACACACACACACTCTCACACCACTCATTAAACTTCAGTTGCTTCACATTGCCTCCAGGATCAAATACAAAGTGCTCTGTTTGGCATTCAAAGTTCTTTACAACCTAGCCCTCTCATGCCTTTCCAGTATTCTTACATGTTACACCCTGCAATATTTTCTTTGACCTAGTGACACTGGCCTTCTGGCTGTTCCATAAACAAGACACTCCATCTGTTGCCTCTAGGCATTTTCTCTGGCTGTCTCTCCTGCCTGAAATGCTCTCCTTCCTCCATTCCAACTACTGACTTTAAGTCCCAACTAAAATCCCACATTTTGAGGCAGCTAGGTGGCGCAGTGGATAGAACACCAGCCCTAAAGCCAGGAGGACCTGAGTTCAAATCCAGCCTCAGACCAAACACTTGACACTAGCTGTGTGACCCTGGGCAAATCACTTAACCCCAATTGCCTAAAAGAAAAACAAAACAAAAAACAACTAAAATTCCACATTTTACAGGAAGCCTTTACCAACCCCATTTAATTCTAATGCCTTCCTTCTGTTAATTATTTCCTATTTATCCTGTATATAGTTTGCTTTGTATATATTTGGTTGCATGTTGTTGCCCCCATAAGATTGTAAACTTCTTGAAGGTAAGGACTATCTTTTGCCTCTTTATATAGCCCCAGTGCTTAGCATGGTACCTGGTACATAGTAGGCACTTAATAAATGTTTATTGATTGACTGATTATAACATGAAGGGGTTGGACTAAATGACCTCTAAGATTCCTCCTGGCTCTAGATGTATAATGGTTCAATGATCTTATCACCAGATCAACGCATAAGGAAGATACATCTGGCAGACTGTGAAGGATGAACTGGAGTGCACAGAGAATCTTACCTGTTTGGAGGTTACTGCAGTAGTCCCAGTAGGTGGCAAGAATAAGGTGGTGGCAAAGAATTGGAAATCAAAGGGATGCCCATTAAATGAAGAATGGACAAACAAGTTGTGGTATATTATTTTGATGGAATACTCTTGTGCTATAAGAAATGATGAGCAGAAGGGGCAACTAGGTGGCGCAGTGGATAGAACACTAGCCCTGGAGTCAGGAAGACCTGAATTCAAATCCGGCCTCAGACCAGACACTTGACACTTAGTAGCTATGTGACCCTGTGCAAGTCACTTAAGGCCAATTGCCCCCCCCAAAAAATAAAAGAAATGACGAGCAGGATGGTTTCAGAAAAACCATGATATGAACTGATGCAAAGTGAAGTAAGCAGAACCTGGAGAACAATGTAAACAGTAACAGCAATATTGTGAGGATGATCAACTGTGGCTTAGCTACTCTGATCAAGACAACAATCCAAGACAATTCCAAAGGGCTTGGGATGAAAAATGCCATACACCTCCAGAGAGAAAACTGATCAACTCTGAATGCAGATGGAAACTTACTTTTTTTTTTACTCTATTTTGATTGCTTTATTTTGTGTTTTCTTTTGCAACATGGCTAATATGGAAATATATTTTGCATGACTTTACATGTGTAATTGATATCAAATCACTTGCCTTCTAAAAGAAGGGGAAAGGGCAGGAGGAAGAAAGAGAACTTGGAACTCAAAATTTCTTAGATTGATTGTTTAAAAAATTTTTACATGTAATTGGGAAATATTTAATGAAACAAAATATTTTTTTTAAAAAAGAATAATATGGAAGATATGTAAGCAAATGCTCCTGGAGAAGATGGAGCTAATGTGGTACAATTCTAAATGCTCAGGACTAGCAGTCTGGCGCCTTTAGCCTCTGGTCCCGGCTTCAGCACTGACACAGTGACCTTAAGTCACTTCCCCTCCCCAAGCCTCAATTCACTTTCCTCATCTGTCAAATGAAAGGTTTGAACTAAATGATCTTCAGGGCCCCTTGTTACTTCTCTCACTCTTAATGTTCACTTACTTGTCAGCATAATGTTGCTTCAGCCTACTGCAATGTAAGCTCCTTGAGGGTAAAGACTACTTCATTTTCATCTTCTTATCTCCCCAGTACCTACCACAGTGCCTTGCACATAGCAGACACTTCATAAATATTTATGAAGTTGAATCTGTGCCTCTAGGGCTCTCTCGGGCACTCAGTAAATGTTTGTGGATGGTGATGAATACATGGCTATGGGTGGTGAGTGCCAAATGAGAGGTGTAGATGGTAAAGACTCTCAGAAGTAGATGATGGTCTCACCTGCATCTTCTCCATACCAGTCACTTGGGATGTCCATCATAGAGCTCACAGCCATTCCTGCATCCTCTGGTCTACTCTCAAAACCTCGAGAAAAAGGGGCAGCATCCTCTTTGCTCTGGGTTGTACTGTTGCGCAAAAGGGCCTCCAAAAACTGCTTCATGTGGTAATTATTACAGGCCAGGTCCAAAGCCTGGCTCCCAGGCAGACCCCCCTCCATGGGTTCCAGGGCCAATGGGGCTGAGTACTGCTGCAGCCGGTCACCAACTTCGACTTCAACATCCACGTCATCAGAGTCAAACTCCACTTTGGGCTCTGTCCCTTTGGGCAGAGAAGAGAAGTCATCCACAGAGTCACTACCTGGGGGGCCTTTCACCACTAGCTCCAGTGGGTGACAGCTAGCACAATCCTCACAAGGGGCATCTTGGGGGCAGTCTCCAACTTCTTCTCTTTCTTCTGGCAAGGGCACCAAGATAGGGCACTGGCTTTTGGGACCACAAGAAGTCATCTCCTGGCCGGATGGAGAACTCCCACCCTCAGCCTGGTGAGCAGCTGCAGCAGCTACAGCAGCAGCCACTGCTGCCGCAGCTTCCTTCTCCATCTTCCGGCAGATGTCAAGTGAGGAGCGGATATAAGTCTTGCAGAAGTTCACCACGTCTGTCATCTGTAGGTAGCTGGCAGCTGACATGACCTCAATCACATTCTCCCCACACAGATCCAATTTCCCTGAATAGAGGAAATCCAGGATAGTAGAGAAGGCTTCAGAAGTAACAATGTCCAAAGAGGCTGTGCTGTGCCGCCCACTGTCCTGAATATAGTGGATCAGCAGAGCTCGGAAGTATCCACTGTTAGCAAAGAGAATGTTCCTATGGGCTTTGAAGATCCGGCCTTCCACGATGATGCTACAGTCACAGAAGAAGTCCCTCTTGCGTTGCTCATTCAGCTCTCCCAAGAGCTTCGTGTAATAAGACTGCATCTCCATTTCTGCTATAGCCACAGCTACAGCTGTTGCTGCTGCTGCTAAGGGAGCTGCCTGTGATCCCTGTCAAGATTTTTTAAAAGGTGACAGAAAGATTATCTCACAAAAGTTGTTTCTTAAATCATTTCCTCTGTGATTCAATGTACAGTAAAAAGCATCTAATTCAAAGGGCCAGAGACTCTGTAGAGACAGTGTGTTTTAGAACTGGAAAGGACCTCTGAAGTTATCTGACAGGCTGCCTAGCCCCACCACTCCTCTGAGGCCTCCACGGTCTCCTTATGTGCTGCCACACAACAGAAATAGCCCTACTTGGTCGGAATCTTGAATTATTTACTAGCTTTATGACCCTGAGTTCATCACTTACCTTCTCTGAATCTCAGGTTCTTCATCCATAATAATTTCTAATAAGCTCCCAGAGTTATGAAAATCAAATAAAACAATTACATAAACTGGGCAAGTAAATAGCGGATAGAGACTGGACTTACTATTTCATTGGTGTAAGGGACTCCCCATTAAGGAAACTCCCTCTCCTAATGCAGGTCAATACCTTCTTTGCAACCTATTGCTGAGAGAACTGCCTAGAGCACTAAGAGGTTAAGTGACTTGACTTGCCTAGGATCATACAGCCATATGTGTCAGAAGGGACATCTGAACCCAGGTTGTCCTGGCTCCAAGGTCAGCTCTCCAGCCACCAGATAGGCTACTTCCCATACTGTTCAAAAGATATATAAATGCCAGTTATTATTCCCAAATGGTTCAAGTAAAACGTTTAGGTGCCTGAGAGGATTAAATTGGTTCCCTGCAAGCAGATACACTTTCTAGTTCAATCCTCCTTTATCCTATGACCCAGCCCACCAGCTGTCCCCCTGACCCCCATCTGTGGTACCATGTTAAAGGTGTAAAACTTCAGATGCCAAACCCACCCTTTACATGGTGTGGAAAGGGGGAGGGTAAGGAGTATGAAGGCATACTACAGACCAGTCTACATATCCAAATCCGTGGAACCATGTTAAAGGTGTAAAACTTCAGATGCCAAACCCACCCTTTACATGGTGTGCAAAGGTGTAGCTAGTACATCACATAAGGAGTATAACCATTTCAAGTTACTAGCTTCAGGATCAGCTTTATCTACAGGGCTCTGCTTATATGTGGAGCTGTGCCGGCCAGGTGCTACCCTGCAAAGTCTAAGCCAGGCACCAGTGGGGCTTCTGGACTTAGGCTCCACAAAGGAGAGAGACCCTGGGGCAAAAGACCCTAGGTAGAAGGGAAAGGATCTTGTGTGGAATAGGACAGAGGTGAGTAAACGGATAGGTGCCTGCGCCCCGCCCCCGGTTCCCCGGCAGCACGCGCCCCGGTGCTCTCTCGCCTCTAGGTTCCTAGCCCCAGTTCCCAGACCCGTCCCCATCCCCAAACCCAACCCCAACCCCATTCTCAGCTCCATCCCCATCCTCATCCTCATCCCCAGGCTCCGCGCCAGCTTCGGCCAAGGCCGGACCCGCCCGCAGGGGGCAGGAGAGGGGCGTATCCCAGCCGCACCGCACCGCGCGGCGACGTGCGCGGAGACAAGTGGGGATGAGAACCCGACCTCCCGTCATTGGGATGTCCCACAGAGCAGCTTTACCGCAGCCCGGCAGAAAGGGGGCCCACAGCAGCATTCCCGACTCTCACCTCAGAGCCGGCCCCGGCCGTTCCGCCACCGAACCGCAGGCGCAGACACGCCCCCCTCCAGCCATCGGCGCTCACTTTTCTCCCCCCACTTCAGAGGCTCCAGCCAATCATGCAACGCCGCTAGGCACCGGGAGGCGGGTCCTCTGGCCAGTCTGCTCGGCTAGGTCGCTGTCCTTTTCTTGGCCTCCCGCAAAGAAAATGCGCTCTGAAGCTGCCCTGGGAGAGAGGGCTGCTGGGAGTTGTGGTTTCGACGTTCGTTTTCGGGACAGAAGTGCGACGACTGGACTGCAAATCCCAGGATGCTGTGAGGTTAAGGATCTGGGTTAGGGACGAAGTAATGCTCCCATATATCTCCATGCCCAGTAGTTCACGTGGACAACCTGTAGCGTGGCTGGCCTTCATCTTGGGCTGGACGGCATAAATCAAGTTACAGATATTCATTCAGGCAGGCCAGTAAATAAAGACAGTGCACAGCAGCCTTCTGTCCAATTCAAAAAAATTTCCCTCAACACCTGTGCAACACCTCTGTGTGAAGGAGAGGAAGAATAAAGCAACTTGCAAGAGCTCCCAATTCCACAAAGGAGAGTATGTATTCAATTCAATAGATATTAAGCAGATTATCTAGCATTTACTTCTCTTTATAGGAGATGCATGCCCTAGTAGAATATAAACTCCACGACGACAAGCAATGTTTTTCCTTGCCTTCTTCATATTCCCAGTGTCTAGTACAGTGCCTTGCGTGTAGTGGGTATTAAATGTTGAATTGAAATTAAGTAGCTGCTGTGTACATAGTGCTGGAGGGAGAGAGCGGAGAAAAAGTTTAGATAGGAGCCCTTCTTTCAGTTCCCTTAGGAAACTCACAGTCTAGTAAAGTGATCATAAACAAGCTGATACATAATGTACAATATTACATATGGTACCATCTAACTTACATATTGGTCGCACAGACACATCTACCCCAGGTTGTAGGCAGTTTGAAGATCTATATTTACACAAATCTGTTGCTCACAAGTTGCCACCAATGAGTTTACCTAAAATTATTAGTCATTTAGCAATAAAATATTTCCCTCATAAGCCTGGGGTACACAAATACACAATTAGTGGGAAGAGTGAGCATGTATAAGGAACAGGAAAAGAGAGATACTTAGGAAACTATGGAGGGGAAATACATGCATCCAAGGCACACTGATGGAGGAGCATACACGGAGGGAACACATGGCCAGGGCACATATGTGGAGGTATGATAACTCACATCTCTAAAGCTCCAAGACCATGAATGTTATCTGGCAATATCACCAGACCTATTTCCCACTGACCTTGGTGCATAATCCCCACCAGTAAGGTAGTTGCTGCTGGATGCAGTCGTCATTGGGCAGTGCTTACTGCTGATACTCAGTGTTGTTCCCCTGATCCCACTGCACTGCTGGGCACAGTTCCAGTGGGCACAAGATTATATTCCATCTTATTCTCTCTGCTTTTAGCTTGTAGCTTCAGATGGAGCCCTTAGCTCCTGTGTCTCTTCTTCATAGGAAAAGTGAGACCTGCCACATTATTTTAAAGTCCCAAGATTTTAAACAGCTGTTTTAGAAAGGAGTAAGCCTTAATCAAGCATCAGCCTCAGAAACATCAGACATCTTTCCTAGGAAAAACTCTTCCATACTTTTTTTTCCACCATGAAGTGTTATCTGCCTGTTTCTGTCAGTCTTATCTAGAAAAAGCCTACTTTCCAAAAGGAGATTCCTTGTCCAAGGTTCCAAACCCACTGACACACAGAGCAGTACCACTTCCAGCTAAGTAGCTGTCAGACTTAATTCTTTATTTTGTTTGATAGTCACCGGGGATTAGGCCCTTACTAGAGACCATTCCCTAGCTTAGGTCTACAAGTCTGTATGGCTCTATGTTTAATTTCTGGTAAATAAACTATACCTAGTCATCATCTATGTAGAAGCAAAAAGTCCAAGGGCTATGGAGTTCGAGGTCCCCTAGTTTCTCAATTCAAATTCATCTTTTCATGAAAATGAGTGGAGAGAAGAAAGGTGCTGAAACAAACCTAAGTCCGGGGGATACAGTCATTATCTTTCCCCTATCTAGCATACACACATACACACGTATGTATATGTATACACATACACGCACATACGTATGTATATGTATATGTGTGTTGAGCAAGTCTTTTTCAGGCATTGAACCCTCTCTGATATCAGTATCATTTAATGTCAGAGTTGGAAAGGAGCTCAGAGACCATCTAGTCTAACTCCTACATGAGGAAGATTCCTCTCTATAAGATACCCAACAAATGGTCATCCAGCCTTTGCTTAAAGATGTCTAATAATTAAGAACCTACTGCTCTGTGTGGCAGCTTAGTCCACTTCAGGATAGCTCTAATTGTTAACAAGTTTTTCTTTACATCAAAACTAAATTTTCTTCTTTTTTAAAAATTCAATTTTATTTTATTCTCAGCTCTGAATTCTTTCCCTGCCTTCATTGAGAAAATAAAAAACAAAACTCATTGCAAATGTATAGTCAAGCAAATCAAATTCCAGCATTCGCTATAAACAGATACGTGTGTGTGTGTTATATATGTGTGTCTACGTGTACATGTATACTTCATTTGTACTCTGAGTCCACCTGGAAGCACCTAGGTAGCTTGCTTCATCAAGAGTCCTCTGGAATTGTGATGGGCATTGTGTTAATCACAGTTCCTAAGTCTTTCACAGTTGTTTCGTTTTACTATATTGTTGTCATTGTATAAATTGCTCTCCTAGTTCTGCTTCATTTTCACTCAGTTTATAGAAGTTTCAGGTTTCTCTAAAACTATGCCCTTTATAAGTTTTTGCAGCACAATAGTATTTCATCACATTTATATACCATAATCTATTCATCCATTCCTCAATTAATGGGCATCCCATCAGTTTCCAATTTTGTGCCACCATGAAAAGAGCTGCTATAAAATTTTTTGTAAAATGTCACCTTCCTCTTTCTTTTATCTCTTTGGAGTATAAACTTAATAGCAGTATCACTGGGTCAAGGGATGTGCACAATTTAATAGCTTTGGGGGTATAATTCCAAATTGATTTCCAGAATGGCTGGCTAGTTCACAACTCCAACAGTGAATTCAGGTACCTATTTTCCCACAGCTCCTCCAGCATTTGTCATTTTACTTTCTTGTTGACTTGGCCAATCTGTTAAGTGTGATACCTGAGTTGTTTTAATTGAATTTCTCTGTTAGTGATTTAGAGAATATTTTCATATGGCTATTGATAGCTTAAATGTCCACCTCTGAAAGTGCCTATTCACATCTTTTGACCATTTATTAATTGGGTAATGGCTCTTATTCTTAAAAATTTTAATCATTTCCCTATGTATCTTAGAAATGAGATCTTTATCAGAGAAACTTGCTGCAAAGATTTTTTTTTACCTGTGTGTGGCTTCTCTTCTAATTTTAACTGCATTGATTGTTTGTGCAAAATTTATGTAATTTATGTAATCAAAATTGTTCATTTTACCTTCTGTCAACCTGTCTATCTCTTGTCATGAACTCTTCCCCTATCCATAGATCTGACAGGTAATTTCTTCCATGCTCCTCTATTTTGTTTATGATGTCACCCTTTATGTGTAAATCATGTACCCATCTGGAGCTTTTCTTAATATATGGTGTGAAATGTTGAACTATATCTAGTTTCTGCCAGACTGCTTTCCAGTTTTCCCAGCAGTTTTTGTCAAACAGTGAGTTTTATCCAACACCTGAGATCTTTGTGTTTATCAAACACTGGGTTACTGTGTTCCTTTGCTTCTATATATTGTATACCTAATCTGTTCTACTGATCAACCTCTCTATAGTTACCTAGTATCAAATTGTTTTGATGATTATGGCCTTGTGGTATAGCTTGAAATCTGTTCTAACTACTAGTCTCCATTACTTATTAGTTTTTGTCATTAATTCCCTTGGTATTTTTTGCCTTTAGATATTCCAGGTGAATTCTGTTGTTTTTTTTAAGCTCTATAAAGTAATTCTTTGGAAGTTTAATTGGTATGTCACTGAATAAGTAAGTAAATCTCGGTAGTATTGTTATTATCTCACCCTACCCATGAGCAATTAATACTTCTCCAGTTATTCAGATCTGTCTTTATTTGTGTAAAGAGTCTTTTGTTCATATTATTCATATAGTTCCTGCGTGCGTGTTTTGGCAGATAGACTACCAAGTATTTTATGTTGTCTGTAGAGTTATTGTAAAAGGAATCTTTCTTTCTATCTCTTCCTGATAGATTTTGTTGTAAACATACAGAAATGCTAATGATTTGTGTGGGTTTATTTTGTATCCTGCAGCTTTGCTGAAGTTGCTAATTGCTTCAATTAGTTTTTTTAGTTGACTCTCTAAGGTTCTCTAAATATCATCTTCAAAAAGTAGTAGTTCTGTTTTCTCTTTGCCTGTGCTTATTCCTTCAGTTTCTTTGTCTTGTCTTATTATGACAGCTAATATTTCTAGTACCACGTTATATAATAATAATGATAATGGGTATCCTTGCTTTACCCCTAAATTTGGTTCTTTGCAACTATTACTCATTGTTCCTAGTTCTTCCCTCTAAAGCCAAACAGAACAGCAAGTTTAATCTCTTTTTAGAAAGATAGGCCTTCAAATACTTAGATAGCTATCATGTCCCCTCATGTCTTCTCTCCTCCAGGCTAAATATCCTCTGTTCCTCAATTGGCATGGTCTCCAGATTTTTCATCATCATGGTTGTCCTTCTCTAGACAGTCTCCAGCTTGTTCTAAAATGTAGAAACCAGAAGTGAACAGGTGTGTTCTGACCAGGGCATAGTACAGTAAAACTATCACTTCCCTAGTCCTGGACATTATGACCCTCTTTATGTTTAAGACCTCGTTATTATTTTTGGCCGCCACTTCACAGGGTTCACACATATTGCTATTATAGTTCACTGAACCTCGAAGCTCTTTTTCATACAAGTATCTAATCATATCACCCTATATTATATTTGTGAAGTAGATTTTTTTTTAATCCATGGGTAATATTTTACATTTATTCCTATTAAATTTAACCTTATTAAATTGTATCCAATATTCTAACCTGTCAAAATCTTTTTGGATCCTGACTGACATCCTGGTTGCTAGAAAGCCTGAATGATGTAGTGGGAAGAATGCTGGATTTGGAATC